CTAAAATAGAAAATATTACTCTCTCTCCTCCTCTAATTGCCTTTCCCCACTAGTCATGCCACCTCAATCATCTGATTCTTCTTTCTTACATATACTCTTCTCCATCATGGGTTGCTTCCTAATAGGCTATTGGTTCACGAAGCCCAATTACTCTTTAAGCCTCATCAATACCCCTCTCTTAAAAGATTTATGATATCAGCACAAAAGTTAGAACACATCACTTTTTTGCAATATCACTATTCTATATTTTGCATCCCTTAGTATAGTGTTAGGAATATCCAACTCATACAACTTCTTCCATTGGTCTTTGATGCTGAATTTTTTTGTGGGACAGAAGACTCATGCTTATGGTATTATATCCACTTTGTACAAGTTCTAACTAATCATTGTAATGTGTGAAACTGGTGATGGTGAGTAATTTTAGGATATTAGATATTTACCTATGCAAAAGCTATTGTTGTTAGTTTGTTTTAGTACTTTGTTATAATGAAACTAGAAGAATTCTTTGAAATTAGACATAGAACATTCACTGTTGCACATTTGTGTGCAATGCACATTACACACTTTATATTAAAAGATAAAGAGTAATCTTAATTTTAATTTTATCTCTAATATCTATCTGATTTTGTTCTAACTTTTTGGCACAACAATATATTTTGATATTAGCACATCAATATGAAAAATATTGACTTGCACTTACTCTTATTGCCATTTCCTTATGCTACTAATTTTGGCTTTGGACTCAACTTTTGTAGTGTTTCTTGTTAAAAGAAAATATGAAAATTATTCTTGCTGCCAAAGAGAGTTTAAGTTTAGCAGTGATACCAAAATTAGTTGAATTATAAAGAGACTAATCAGCGTAATGTGCAAAATCAGATTGCAGGTTTAGTTAGTAAACCTATGTTAAGTACCTACTACCCAACCACTTAAGCTTATGTTGTGTTGCATATTTTGGCTTATTTCTTACTTCGGTTTAATAAGTTCCTGCACCTCGCTCAGCAGTTCAGAAGATGATATTCTTTATGGGATCCTCTAATAATTTTATTTTCATGCAGATCTCTTTTTGACTTAAATATATTTTTTAATTCATGTAAATACAATTGTTTATTTTTAGTTTCATTAAAATCTTTTAGCCCATAAAGTCCTTACTCTAACCTTGACTCTTTTTTGGCTCATAAAACTTTTGATTTATTAAACTTTTTGTCTCATAGAACTTTTTAACTCTAACCACATGAGTTAGGGTTAAGGCTTATCTAGTTAAGCTTTTTGAGAGCTCTACTCAATTTGCAAACATACATTTGAAAAGAGTTACTTATTACATTAGGGTCCTTCAGCATCTTAGTTGGAGTGATTCCGTACTAGTATTTCAAGCTCGCATAAGTTTGAGTCTAAACAAATTGAATTAAAAAAGTTTGAATTTATTTAAATATTCAATTTCAATGTATAAATTATATTTTTATGAGTATTTTTATCCCAGCCCATCAAATAGAAGTATTTTGCTAACTGATATTGTCAAGTTCTCTAAATATACGTAAAACAACTTGAAGAGTGCAATTAGTATTTATATCTTTTCTTTAAAAAAAATTATTTGATCATGGATGAGACTGGCATTCCAAATCCCTTATATCCTAATTCACCGGGTGACACAAATCATTCAAACCTATCTATGGATTACGTTAGAATCAAACGTGAAATCCACGTATATCTTTCCACATGTAGACATTGATGTAGTCATTAATATATTCTTTTTCTTTTATAACCAAAAAAAAAAAAAAAAAGACATGTTAATTATCAAGCTTAATAAGACTTTGTCAAGTCCAACAACTTTTTATGAGTTGCTTCTGGAAAGTTAACATGAATAACACATACTTTTTATTAAAAGGTTTATAGGCAACAATAATCATAACTTTATCTTACTATCGTTAAGAGGTTGGTATGACACAAGAAAATATTAGGTACGTTCTGGAGTTGGTATCTATTCTTCATGTTAGGCTTTTTTTTCTTTATCTTTCGCGAAAACATATAAGGACCGATCTCGAATCTGAGTGGAAAGAAAGCATGTCCATTATGCCTCAACATGCACACTCAGTTGTTAAACGCCACGCTACGTAGTGTAAAAACATAACTCGCATTCCAGTAGGGTTAAAGCAAATCAAAACATGCATTAAATAAACTTCAATGTATATGTATACTGTATTATATATATTTTTTATACGTGTTAAAGATATTATTAATTAACTCTTAGAGACTAAATTTTTAGGACAAAAATATATTGGAAAAAGAAATATATTCTCATTCATAGTTAATATATTAAAAATGTACTTATTATGATACTCTTAAACATAAAAAAGCATTATATATTTTCTCTAGATGGTGAGTTGTGATTTTTTAATATTTTAAAAATTAAAAAATATTTATATTTTTTCTAAATAAACTATTAACAAAACTGCTTGTTGATATAAAATTAATAATTATAATTATTTTAAATATAAAGAACATCGAACTTTAAAGTTTACCTATTAAAAAAACATAATTATCTATGTTGTTTTAATCAACCCGCGTTTGTGTAATGATAATTTCAGCTTCGATTAATATTTCTTGTTAATTCTCTTGCCTTATTAGCTAGTCCCTTTTGGTTGTTAAGTTTTCCATTACTTGATGTATATATCTATTCTCTCTTTAGGAAAACCGTAGCACAAAATTCACAACAATCAATACGATCATTTCATTTTTGTTTTCATTCATATACCAACTTCCTGATGATCAACAGGGAACCTTTCTAATCCAAATTAACTACATCCTAGAGAGAACCCATTAACACTTCTTATTTCACCCCAACTAGATGGGTAGATTAAAATATGAAGAGGGTATCAAAGGTGAAATTTAAATTTATAGGCTACTTCATCACACTTGGATCCAATAAATTCTTATTATTTCTGAAATTTGAATGTACTTGCACTGTGAAATGTTGTGGTGACTGATTAAAAGTCTCAGGAATTATAAAGAAACTAAACACGTTATCTGCTTTCTTAAGGGATTGAACAATCGTTACCACATCACTCTATGAAATTAATCCTACATATGCTTACAAAAATTTTATAAAAGAAACTAAAAGATGAATTTACGTTTCTTTTCCATTTTTCTACTAAAAAAAAGGTAAAACAACAAAATTAGTAGACTTTATAAATCGGATTTGATAAAATTAATTCTGAATATTATATATAATTCAGATACATGTATGAATTAATTTAAATCATCCTTTTTATTGAAATGTATATTTTTTGTATTAAAAAAAAGGCAAGAATTGATTTTATAACTTTAAAATAAATTAATTTTAGTTTAAATAAATTTTTAAAGAAGTCATTGTAAAAAATATTATAAAAAATAAATTAAATTTCTCTGGTGACTTAACAATTTATATTTTTCTATTTCTGAAAAAAATTTGTTATTTTTAACTTATAAAAAGTATTTATTTGTTTTTTTATAAAAAATTCTAAAAAATTTATTAAAAATAGGCGTGACTTGTTAATTATTTTTGGTTTCTCCGTCATGAAAAAGAGCTCCAAATGGTAGATGAAACAAGGCAAAATAAGGTAACACATCTCGAATCTTGACCCTTTCCAACGTGAGTACATTCTCCACACGTACATGCCAATTTTTTTCCTTGGAAAGTACAACACAAAGCGTGTTGGTTTTTTTATTTCACAAAGCGCGTTGACAGTGATCTATCAATTCGACACCCAAGTATATGCATACGAGAGCTTCTAGAAAGCTTAATTCAGTAATATTATTATATCTTTTATTATTTATAAAAAATACTGATTAAAAATTAATATATTATTGAAAAAATATGAAAACATTGCATTATTTTCCCCCATTTTCTAAGTGAGAAGAATAATAAAAAATGATTTAGAATTGCTTAATTGAATTATAAAATTCTAATCCTTCTTCTGGGTCTTATCTCGTGCAAGCAAACCAGCGTGGTCTTTGGGTGGGTGGTGTTGAAATTTGAAATTGATGAAAACAGAGGACTCTACACACCTCCCATAGTTCATAGTCCATACCCTCTTCTGTCTTGCCCTTTCAATTAATGCCTTGTGTCCCCTAAACATCAAACCCTTCCAGCTGTCCAATTTTCTTCCCCATTAATATATACTATGAATAATATCCTTTTTAAAAATATTAATAAGCATTTTAAGGACATTAAAATTTTAATTTTTTATTAAAAATCATAAAATATACTTAATTTCATCACTTTAATACATTTTATTTAATTTTAATAAATATTTATCATTTATTGATTCTTTAATTGGTATCCTAAGAATAATCATTAACATTTTCAAATCTCAACTTTTAGAATTGAGTTTGGCATTCAAAAATAAAAATTATATTTTTATATTAAAATTACAAAATATAATACATATTTTTTAATAAAATTTTATTACTATTAATTACTTATTTAAGTTGAGGTTAATATTTTTATTTTTTTACCCTTGACACCATATAATATAGATATTTTTTACTGATAATAATTTTACTTGAGCTAAAATTATTTACAATATAGTGACTTTTTTATAATATTTTTCATATATAAAAATTATTTTCTTTAAGAGAAATCAATCAAACATGTATTTAACAATAGAGTACGGGATGAATATAAAGAAGAGTGAGATAAAAAAAAAAAAAAAAAAACACAATACACTATATGATAAAAAGAATGAAAAATAAATATAAGGAAAAATTGTAAAAAAATCAAATTTGTTATATTAAAGAAACAAGAAGGGCATTTAAATCTGCATGTCCCACCCTCACCCCATGTATTTGGATATGGGTTGCAATCTGATTCTTTTCTCACAATAAAGCCACAACTATCACACCATAATAGAGTCATAAACGTGGTTTGACTCACATTTTAAATTACAATTGAAAAAGAAATCTTGCTAGCCTTTCCACATTGAAGTTCTACATATAACCCAGCTAAGATTGAGCTAGCTATACATCACACATTATTTTCTCTCTCTCTCTCTCTCTCTCGGGTTCAGTATTTCATTTGAAGCACAAGCTCATCATGGCTGATGTTCTGAGTGAAGAACAAATCGTTGAGATCAAAGAAGCCTTTGGCTTGTTTGACAAAGATGGAGATGGTGAGCAAGCTTTCTCTTTTATGCATTATCTATGATTTCACCAAATAGGTCTCTCTTCTTCAGTTAAATCTAAATTCTTTCACGCTTCAATTATTTCATAAATACAATACTTATAAATTATGTATGATAGAATTGTTATTACACATACACACATAGTGGCTATTTATAAATTGTGTTTATCTTCATGTATGTTTAATAGGGTGCATTACTGTGGAAGAATTGGCCACTGTCATCAGATCATTGGATCAGAATCCTACAGAAGAAGAGCTCCAAGACATGATAAACGAGGTCGATGCAGATGGCAATGGAACCATAGAATTTGTTGAGTTTTTGAACTTAATGGCCAGGAAAATGAAAGTAAGTTATGCTTCTTTGTTACTCCATTCTATATTAGTGTATATATTATGTCAAGTAAATTGAATTCATAACCCTTGAAATTTAATGAAATTTTACTCAGTTATCTTTTTTTTTTTTTGTCCCATGTAAAATTTTCTTTAATTTATATAATATAATATGATATACCCTTTTTGATAACATCATTTATGCTTTTATATTATTTAAAAGAGGTTAAATTGTTGAAGTAATGTAAAAAAATGAAAAAGTGTAAAATAAAAGTTCATCAAATGTTAGGATGTAAAAATGAAATTTATTCTATTCCATATTTATTTACAAAAAATCAAAAGCATTAATATTGCATGTGTTGTCAATCCTTAATATCCTTCTCATTACACAGAAGGCAGAGACTAAGTCTCAGTTCTGTTTTTTTTTTTTTGGCATTTAGGAGACTGATGCAGAGGAAGATCTCAAAGAGGCTTTCAAGGTGTTTGACAAAGATCAAAATGGCTACATTTCAGCTAGTGAGGTATGTAAACGTTATTCTTTCTATTCACTTTTTATTCTAATTTTCTTTCTTTGACGGCAATGACAATTCAAAGTATTCACACTATTATACCAAGGTGAGGGTTTATACAAAGTAGGTTGGGTCAAGATGTTGCAAAGTGCAAACTAGATTACAACTCTTCAATCCCTTCCATCTTGCATTTCTTTAATATTTTGGGCATGCTTATATATATATACTTCAACCTATCTTAATAAAATTTCCTCTTTCAGTTATCGATGTTTTAATATAAATGTTTATAATTTTGTATTTATTCATTTTTAACCACAATCATTCATAATATATTATAAATAAAATTCACGAAATTACTTTCGTTTTAACTTTATATAAGTATGTTTTTAATTTTATTTTTTTAAATAAGTATTAATTTTTTTCTTTATATACATGAGTTTTAAGTTTTTCTTGAACTCTCTCTAATAAATTTATAGTAAAAAGGAAACGAAATGGGCATGTATTAGAAAGAGGAGATAAAAGAATATATCATCTAAGTGACTTTACATAAACTTAATAAAAAAAAAAGGTACATTAATTTCATGTACAAAATTATACGCATCTTTTTTCTTTTGCTAATAATTATACGCACCCTTAATAATGCACATCTAGGACAGTACTTTGTACCTTTCGGCAACTGATGAATAATAGCTGTTTGATTTAAAATTGGTCTTGGGTTTTGACATTTAAAGTGTGGAAGAGAATCTTGATTTTCAGTTTCCACTTTCTTAATTACTTATTAGTAAGTAATAACTATGTATATTCACAAAGACACACATGTGTGCACACCCATATAATAAAATATTTCCATGTTTTGCAGCTGAGACACGTAATGATCAATCTGGGTGAAAAACTTACTGATGAGGAGGTGGAGCAGATGATTAAAGAAGCAGATTTGGATGGTGATGGTCAAGTTAACTATGATGAATTTGTCAAGATGATGATGAATATTGGATGAAACTTTCACCCAACACATTTCTTATTCAAATTCATTTGGACCCAACTCATTCCCTCGCCAGAAATAAGTGTTCCAGTTAATATTTGTTGTACTCTTTTTGTAGCCCATGATGTGAATGACCAACGCATTAGAGTGAGATCTAAGCCACACCATTTGATTTGTTCAACTCCAAACCATAATTATTCTTTCTGTTTTAGCTTACTATTCCCTTATGTTTTAAAATAACTAGGATAATTTACCCTCTATTTTTAACGGGTATTTAAATTTTATTGTTCATCTTTTAAAAGATTAATATATGCTTCGATTTATTTTGTTTCAATATGAATCATTTCTTATTTATTTTTAAGTATCGACAATAGCTTTTGGACTTTAAGGTTTTGTGACTTTAAGAAAAGCAAAGAAGATTCTGATTGAAAATTTAAACTTGATATCATGTCTTAGAGTTGTTAATTTAGATTATTCAGCTTAACTTAGTCTGATGTGAGCAGTATAGTGGGGCCAAAAAAGTTTAGAATTTTTTATTACACCTTAAAAATGGTGGCCAAAACTTGGCACTATACGGATAGGAGACTTAGAACATCTCCAATGGCAAATGCTTAACCCACTTTATTTAGAGAAGCAACTGTAACTTACATAAAAATACCGTTTGAAGAGAGGTAAGTTGACCATCTAGATAAGCAACCATATCTGAACAATTGTTACTTAATTGAGAATTCAGCAGAAAGTGAGCTCATTCATACCAATTTTTTTTAACAAAAAATAACATAAATCAGAAATAGAAATAAAATAAAAATTATAAGACAATTTATGAGATTCATTTAGTAAATTTTTAAGAGTTGTATGATTAGAGATGAAAGTTGCATAAATGACAAAAAATAAAAAGAAGTTATGTGAAATTGTAGAACCTATATAAAAATTAATAAAATAAATTTTAAGCAACTTATGTAAGTAAGACCATTGGAGATGCTCTTATGTGAACTGGCCTGTATATTATAATTAATTATATTATCAATGCACCAATAATAATAATAATAATAATTAATAGAAAATTGAGTTTTATGATTTAAAAAAATCTAAACTGATGTCATATAGAGGGTTAGGGAGAAAAAGAAATTATGTAAGCAACCCTATATGGATCGACCTACATCAAACCTGCTTTTGATGCAAGTCTAATCGAGCCAAATTAAGAAAACTACAAATTTATTCAACCATTAAAATTAATGAGTCAAGTTCTACTTTTAATGAGTATATTAGGTTGACTCCGTCTTTACTAAAAACTGATAATACATGTTTAAAATTAGTTACCAATAACTTTATAAGTTAAAAATAAAAATATTTTAAGAAATTTGTATATAATTTCTCTTCCATTAACAAATCCATTTATATTAAAATAGTAAGACATAAAAACTTACTATTTTAAACATAAAAAGAATTTAAAATTATTAAGACTAAATTAATATATTAGTCCCTTAACTTTTAATTTTATTTTATTTTGATCTTTGAAATTTTAAAAGTATTTCCATTAAAAATTAATATTCAATTTTTTCTTTTTACTTACCCTTCCTTTTTAGCCCCTCTTATCATTCATCTTCCTTTATTTCTTTTATTATTATTATTATTATTCTTTCTTCTCTTTTTTTTTTTCTCCTCCTCTTACCCCCTGTCAATGCCTCCAAAAATTTCTCTCTAAAATATGTTTCCTTATCTTCCTTATGTTTTTGTTATTATTATTCACTTGAATGTACTAAATTCTCATTCTCTTCCTCTTCTTTTTCTTCCTTTTCTTCTTTCCCCTTCTACATATAAGTTCACTGATACCTTCTCCACGGTCCATGTTATCACCTCCACTACAATCATCATAACTTTTGCACTTAACTCACCATGCCAACAGTCCCGCTAATGCTAAGATCTAACAAAAAAAATCACTAAACTATTAGAGTTTAAATTGGGTGAAAATAGGCTGTGGAGATATTAGATGAGAGTTAAGAGAAAGAATGAAAAATAAAAAAAGAAGAAAAGAGAAGAAAATACTCAAAGGAAAAGTAGAAATATAAATGTCAGTGGAGAAAGAAAACAATAATTTTTTAACGAATTTAATATTTTTTACAAAAGAGAAAAAGGACTCATTTAAAATATTTTTGAAAGTTAGAAAACTAAAATAGAACTAAACTGAAATTAAAATAAAATTAAAATAATCAATCTACTAATTTAACCAATTATTTAATATATTAAACGATAAAACTTAGTATAAAAAAGAATATGTTAATACTTTTAATTCTTGTATAAAGTCTTAATCAATAATTTTTACAGGGAGATGTTAATCAGTGTTTTTATTAATTTCTTAATCAATGTGTTTAAGAAAATATTTTAAAGGTTTTTTATTTTAAAATGAAAGAACATTATAACGTGCTTTGCTTGGAAAATGGACCTGCACTAATTAAATGATACATTATAATTATGAAAATCAATTGAAGGGGTTTTAGCATCTCTCATTTGGAAGAGGCATGTTACAGTTGAATGGGAACACTTTCAGCTCATATTCTTTGACTTTGACTTAAAAATCAATGGTTGAGTTGGACTTGAGTATGTGATTTATTATAAGGAATTTAATGGTGCGAGTTTGTCATTTTCTTGACTTCTAGCAATTGCAGTCTTATTTTTATTTTTTCCATCTTTATGGAGTAGGATATAAACTAGTCCCCTTCATATTAGTTGTTACACTAACTTTACATGTACACTCTTTCTCCAAAGATAATGCGTACAAATCACATCACCTGTTACAAGGTGATGCCTTTAAAAAGAAAAACCCAATTGAACTATAGAGAGCTTGCAATTAGCTGTCTTTTTGGCATGCAGCGGGTGACACATGCACATTGTTAATATGTTTCTTACGATTATAATGTTCTCATGTGTCATTAACTGAAGAGGCCACTTAAATCTGACACCTTGTTGCCTTTGATTTTTAAGTTCTTTTTTAACCACACTTTTTTTTTTTAATATTCTTAATTCAGTCAATTATATGGGTCATTAGTGTGACACCAATCCATACGTTTTTTTTTTTAGAAAGCAACCATTGAGTAAGTGACATCTACCGTTAGTAAATAAAGAACAATACGTTGGACTAGTGGAGACAATGCTATCATGTGATGTGACTGACAACTGAATTTCATTGACTTCTATGGTCTTGTGGCTTTGATCTCTACCATCATGTTGTGGATCGGAAACTATATTATGATTATTTGATTTCAGAAATGAACTCATGATTTATCTAGTCTAGTAAAAGATGCGTAGAATAACAAGGATAAAGCAAAATGCCCTCTTGTTTTAAATAAATTGGAAGAAAGTTTATAAGTTGTATACCCTTAGTGATCCAAAAAAATGTTTTGCTATGGTGCATATTGAAACTTAACAATTCAAACCAAAGCATACTAATGTTATTTATGTTACTCTCTGTTTTGGAAAAAATGATTCTGAATTTCTTGAGATTCCAAGAATCCATAATTTTGGCACAGGACAAGAGAATCTTGGGCTTTACTATAACTATTTTTTTGTCATTTAGAATGGGGATATGTCATTAAGGTAGGTTAAAACACCATAAAAAGAATTAGTTCTTCTCTGAAGCTATACAGATTGATCTATTCGGTTAGCACAGAGATGATAATCAAACATAGTGACGAGTTTATGCGCATAATTCTCCAAAATCATTGTAAAATAAACAAATGTTACAATCAAAGGCAAAAAGTTTGCCTCTATCAAATCACCACTGGTTGCTCTCTCTTTCCATTTATGAAATCCCTCAAACAAAGTAAAATTTAACTTCATAAACCATCTCATCTTGAACTTGGATCGAGAATAATCAGGAAAATGAATAATCACCATAGTTGCTGAAGTGCACTCACTGTTGGTTGATCTAACCATGATGCCAGCCACCAACATTCTCTCCATATCAAAACTTTGCTTTCAGAAAAAAAAAAAAAAATTAGAAAGAAACTCACAACACAAAAAACGAAAACAAAACATAAGAGTAAGTGTAATTCTAAAGGTTTTAGTTTGCCACAGTTGCACAACATATGCAGCTGCTGAAGAAGGAAGACCGAGGCTTTCGCTTTTCTTTTCCTTTAGGTGAAGTTGATGACACTTCTTTCACTGCCTTCTTTGTGCCAACTTGGTTATCTTGTGTTTGTGGCGTTACCAGAAGATGAGCTTCTTCTTCTTCTTCTTTTAAGAAACCTATGAATGGAGCTTTAGATTTCTTAGAGCAACTTCTTTCCATAGTAACTATTTTCTCTTCCACAGGCATTTCCTCATTTAGTAACGTGCACTGCTCATACTCAGCATGAGGCATTGATTTGATGAGATTTAAACTAGTATGGTTTGCCAATCTTTCATTTGCAGACTTATCATGGTCAAGCAACGGAGTTTGATCTGATTCTTGTGGCCTTGTTTCGGTTCGGAGGTTGCCATTGAAACTTGGAGATTTTTGTATCTGACAAGAGATGTTTGGATTATCAGGATATGATTCAGTACTGAGCCTTGTTACACTGTCTCTTGTTTCATAGCCACCATTTGGAAATATAGAACTGTTTGAACATGGTTCAATGGACATAATACCTGTTGAGGTTGTTAGTTCCGCCCCTGATAATGAACCTTCTTCTATGTGTTGTGGATAATCTTCTCCTTTTTCCTCAAATGATTCATCATCATCCAAGTCCACAGATGGAGCAGTTAACTTTGGAGAATCAACTTTGTCAATGTTTGTGCCAAAGTTTTTTCTCTCGTTTGTTTGCTTCCAATCTGAGTTTGGCTTGCTGATAGCAGTAAAACTTTTGATCAGCTTCACATTATCCTGATGGTAATCATAGATATGCAACAAAGACGTATCTTGCAAGGAGGAATATTCTTCTTGGTTTTTGGTTACCAGATCAGAATTGCATTGTTTTGACTTTTCATTCCCCCCAAAAGTTTGGACCATGGCATTTGAAGCTTCTGGCTTTACATTTGTTTCTTCAATTTTATGCTTATAACTCTCTCCATCCTCATGTCTGCAATCAATAACAGTTAACCCTGCAACAAGACTAGCAATTTTCGCTTCAGGAACCAAAGAGTGCTTTTGTTCTGAAGCAGCATTGCTTTCATCTGAAGCCTTATTGACATAGGCCTCAAACAGGACTCCATTCTCAGTGACTACAGGTTCTTCAAATTGATCACTGGTGGCAAGCCTAGAGACATCAGAATCAAGTAATATATTTCTTCCTCCATTGGAACCTGTAGCCATATCACATGTATACACCATACCAGTCTTATATTCTTTCAAT